CCGCGCCCCCCCCGCCCCCCCAGCCAGCCCCCGCCGAGGCCGCTGCAACCTCAGCGTTGGAGCCGGCGCGGGTACATCCCCCGCGCCGCCGGGCCGCCCTGGGCGGGACTCCTCCCGCGGCCTCCGGGGCCACGGGGCGCGCGCAACAGGCGGCCCGAGCCAGCGGGAAGCTGGAGCGGCGGCGGCGTCGACCTCGGAGGGGAATGGAGAGGCGAGGCCAGGCAGAGCCCCGCGCAGCCTTGGAGTCTCTCCTGCTGCCGGTGCTACTGCTGCTGGCGGTCCTGTGGACGCAGGCGGCCGCCCTCATTAACCTCAAGTACTCGGTAGAAGAGGAACAGCGCGCCGGGACGGTGATCGCTAACGTGGCCAAGGACGCGCGGGAGGCGGGCTTCGCGCTGGACCCCCGACAGGCTTCTGCCTTCCGCGTGGTGTCCAACTCTGCTCCGCACCTGGTGGACATCAACCCCAGTTCGGGCCTGCTGGTCACCAAGCAGAAGATCGACCGCGACCTGCTGTGCCGCCAGAGTCCGAAGTGCATCATCTCGCTGGAGGTCATGTCCAGCTCAATGGAGATCTGTGTGATTAAGGTGGAGATCAAGGACTTGAACGACAATGCCCCCAGTTTCCCAGCGGCACAGATTGAGCTGGAGATCTCTGAAGCGGCTAGCCCAGGCACGCGCATCCCTTTGGACAGTGCCTACGATCCCGACTCTGGCAGCTTTGGAGTGCAGACCTACGAGCTCACGCCTAATGAGCTATTTGGCCTGGAGATCAAGACGCGGGGCGATGGTTCACGTTTTGCAGAACTGGTGGTGGAGAAGAGCCTGGACCGGGAGACACAGTCACACTACAGCTTTCGCATCACTGCGCTCGACGGCGGCGACCCGCCACACTTGGGCACTGTTGGCCTCAGCATCAAGGTGACCGACTCCAACGACAACAACCCGGTTTTTGGCGAGTCCACTTACGCAGTGAGCGTGCCTGAGAATTCACCTCCCAATACACCTGTCATCCGCCTCAATGCCAGTGATCCAGATGAGGGCACCAATGGTCAGGTGGTCTACTCCTTCTATGGCTATGTCAACGACCGCACACGTGAGCTCTTTCAAATTGATCCACACAGCGGCCTGGTCACTGTCACCGGTGCCCTAGACTATGAAGAGGGCCACGTGTACGAACTGGACGTGCAGGCCAAGGACCTGGGGCCCAACTCTATCCCTGCACACTGCAAAGTCACTGTCAGCGTGTTGGACACTAATGACAACCCACCTGTTATCAACCTGCTGTCTGTCAATAGCGAGCTGGTGGAAGTGAGTGAGAGCGCCCCCCCGGGCTACGTGATTGCCCTGGTTCGGGTGTCTGATCGCGACTCTGGTCTCAATGGACGTGTGCAGTGCCGTTTGCTGGGCAATGTGCCCTTTCGGCTTCAGGAGTATGAGAGCTTTTCCACGATCCTGGTGGATGGACGGCTGGATCGTGAGCAGCACGACCAGTACAATCTTACTATTCAGGCACGAGACAGCGGCGTGCCCATGCTGCAAAGTGCCAAATCCTTTACTGTGCGCATCACTGATGAGAATGACAACCACCCACACTTCTCCAAGCCTTACTATCAGGTCATTGTACAGGAGAACAACACACCCGGTGCCTATCTGCTCTCTGTGTCCGCCCGCGACCCTGACTTGGGTCTCAATGGCAGTGTCTCCTACCAGATTGTGCCGTCACAGGTGAGGGACATGCCTGTCTTCACCTATGTCTCCATCAATCCCAACTCTGGTGATATCTATGCACTGCGCTCCTTCAACCATGAACAGACCAAGGCATTCGAATTCAAGGTGTTGGCCAAGGATGGCGGTCTGCCCTCCCTGCAAAGCAATGCCACAGTGCGGGTCATCATCCTCGACGTCAATGACAATACCCCGGTTATCACCGCCCCTCCTCTGATCAATGGCACCGCTGAGGTCTACATTCCTCGAAACTCCGGCATAGGCTACTTGGTGACTGTTGTTAAGGCAGAGGACTATGATGAGGGTGAAAATGGCCGGGTCACCTATGACATGACAGAGGGTGACCGTGGTTTCTTTGAAATAGATCAGGTCAATGGAGAAGTCAGAACCACTCGCACCTTTGGTGAGAGCTCTAAGGCTTCCTATGAGCTTATTGTGGTGGCCCATGACCATGGCAAGACAGCTCTCTCTGCCTCTGCGCTTGTCTTAATCTACCTGTCCCCAGCCCTGGATGCCCAAGAGTCAATGGGCTCCGTGAACCTGTCCCTGATATTCATTATCGCCCTGGGCTCCATTGCAGGCATCCTCTTTGTCACTATGATCTTTGTGGCAATCAAGTGCAAACGTGACAACAAAGAGATCCGGACCTACAACTGCAGGTAGAGCCAACTTTTCTTTCTTTCCTTCTATGTTTTGAATGCGCAAGATGTGTGTATTTGTGTCTGTGTGAAAAACCCAGTGCTTTTTGTCTCCTACTTAAATGCATGCAGCATTCTCACAGTGCTTCTTTGTGGAGAGTGAAAAGTTTGTGACAGTCCAAGTTGATCAATTCTTTTGATCTGACAATTTGCTGGAAGACAATCATTTACTGTTTGAATGGATTCTGACACATAATGATGAAGAATAGAAAAGCAATTATCATTTTAAAATTTGCACAGCTGCCTCCAATGAAGCTAAGGTAGAGAGAGAGAGAGAGAGAGAGAGAGAGAGAGAGAGAGAGAGAGAGGAGAGAGAGAGAGAGAGAGAGAGAGAGAGTGAGAGAGAGAGAGAGAGAGAATGAATGGGGGAGGAAGACTTAGAGTCAGGATGGGGGAGGGAGACTGAGAGAGGAGGAGAGGAGGGAAGGGAGGGGTGAGAGAGGAGGAGAGGAGGGAAGGGAGGGGTGAGAGAGGAAGGAAGAGAAACATTGATTTTCATATTTCCAGCAAAAGTCACAAGTATCACCACTTGATGACTTGATTTTCTTGAGCACAGTGTTTTCTGGACAGGCAGTGATAGGAGAGCAAGTGCTGACAGTTGCTCTGTCCTTCCGCGGGGTTCAACTCCTGCAAGAGCTTGGGAGTGATAGTTTACAATGGGAAATAGGAAGTAGGAGGAAGAGAGAACAGAAATGTGTGGGGAAAACAGGTGATTAGTGGGTTTTAGTGTAATTTGGCTTGTTTTGTATCCAGTCCCCTGACATCTGGCTTTATAAAGTGAAATTCTGTCAGGCATCTGTATGTTTTCAAATATCTGGTTGGTGGTGTGTGGAGACCGAACATCCCAATGAGGGACAGAACTTTGCATCCAAATGTTTCAGTAAAAATAGCAATCTCTGGAGCTGGTTATATTTTCCTCTAATGTGGAACTGTGCTATGACATTAAGATCTTGTCGCTACCAGTGGATGTCACTATGGGCCGTTGTGTACAGTTTCTCTGAAGTGTGTGTAGGATGTATGTGGGGGTGAGGGTCAAGAGGAGAGGAAAGAAATGTAGAAACTTGAATGGCATGTAAAGCAATATTTTTTAAAAGTTCTGATTAACAAGCACATCAGAGGTTCTTACTGAAGTTCTTGCAACTGATAGAGGAAATAAGTCTAAGCATTTCTAGAATCCTACTTAAGATAATGTATATCATTTTTTTCCAGCAGTGTCTCATCGAAACAGTTGAAAAAAGTTATTTTTTTTACTTTGCTGAAAATGAATGATGCTATTTCCAATCAAGGTGTGTGTGTGCGCTTCCAGCACACCTATACATCCACTGTATCTTTTGTGCCATCTGTGCTTGCATGTTAATCAGTCAAAATATGTTCCTGTAGGTCCGATTTGTATCTGACACCATCTGAAATACACACTTCTGTGAATCAGAGCTGCCTGAATATGTAACAGCCATGCAATTATTGTTTCCCTTTTACTATTCTCTGCATTACACAAGTTAGTAGACAAATGCTAACCACACATGAATATCAATCAGGTGCCATAAAAGAGCAGCTGCAATGCCTCATAAATGCTTTAATCCTGTTACTAGTGAAATGGCTGTGACTTTTCTTTCCTTCAGCACTGAGTCATTTCAGATGGGAGAAATGGAAATTAATATTGCTCTTACCTTTGAAACCTGTGAATGCCAATGGCGATTTTTATAGGAGAAAAATGCAGGGTCAATAAAATTTTATTTATATGGCGATAAAGATAGAGGGGACTCTTTTTAAGCCATTTTCTCAGTATAAAGTAAATGCGTAAGACCCTTTCCACGATGAAAAAGAAATCAGCTTGAAATAAAGATTTTGAAGGCTTTGCCACCTCTTGGTGATATATGTCAAGAAGTAAGAGCTCTTTTTGAGAGCTTGCCAGGGAGATCATTAAACAGGGAGGAGAGCATTTGAATTTGGGGCGGGGGAGGTGCAAATCTCAGTGCTCTCCAACTTCACCTAAATGTGTATTTTGTAAAGCACTCTTCCTGTGATGCTTCACAATTAATGAAGTACATTTTAATTAAATAATTGCTCAATACAGAACGGGCTGTGCAATGAATGCTTCAGCTGAATAATTGGAAGGGGCATTGCCAAACTCACCCATCATGGGTAAACAAAATTATTACAACTTCCCAATGACTCAGTAAACAGATTAGAAAAGAAACCCAACCCTAGTCCTGAGGTTTGGAGGGTTTCATCCTCTCCCTAGACTCTGTATCATCAGTTTACCATTCCTGCATGTGAGCCTGAGCACAGATGAAAAGGGTGAGGTCAACTCCTTTGCTTAGCTCTAGGTAGATCCCAGGGACAGAGCAATAATTTGCCTCTGTGGATATGCAAACTCCCTATCTGCCCCGACTTCTCAGAAACCTAAAGTTCAGGAGCATATCTTTCCATGTGCTTAGGGAGAGGTTTCTACTTCTCCGCATCTGCAGAGCGGCTTCCTGAAACACATTCATTTATGAGACTCGTGAGATGAACTGCAATTGCTGCTTGAATTAGGCTCCTCTTTTGTATTCTGACAATTAGCTTTGTCAAGTGAGAATACAGGCACACTCTTTCCCTTGTAAAGTCTAACCTGTATTGTTTGTTAACCTTATTGTTTTGTTGATTATTGCCCAGAAATTGAATTGTCAAACAATAAGCTGAAATCATTATGTGCAGAATAATACATGACATTGAGAATCTGGCTACATTTTAATGTATTTCTTTGGACAAGTCTCTTAATGCTTGATGTCTTTGGTGCACGTTGCTGGGTCTGTGTCAGTGTTAATTAAATTGAGCTCTTTATGTTCCAGTTGCAGCACAGCTGCTTGTAGGTACACCTGAATGGAGAAGGATGCTGAATGCACTAACCTTTAAATTCCTTTGCAGTAATTGTTTAACCATCACTTGTCTCCTCGGCTGTTTTATAAAAGGACAAAACAGCAAGTGTCTGCATTGCATCTCGGTTTCTCCCATTAGCGAGGAGCAAGACAAAAAGGCAGAGGAGAAAGTGAGCCTAAGGGGAAAGAGGTAAAAAGGCATTTCCCCTCATTCAAATGGGTTTGGCTATCAGATTTCTCTAGGAGAGGAGGGGGAAGGGTGGAGAGTAGATGGGTGCAGGGGTAGGGCAGGGAGCGGGGTGTGGAGGAGAGGAGCTAGGAGGTGTCAGAGGACAGGGTCTGGTCCTCCACCCTATAAAAGTCATCACTTTAATCACAGAATAAGCTGATCCATGGTGTTTGCCACAAGGCAAATTCCTGGAGTAATTGGCAAGGGTTTTCTTATGTCCCTCTATCTCCTCTTCTGTTCAATTGGCACTTCTTACTTCACCCACTAGTTCATTTGAGTTCCAGGATAATTTCCGATTTGAGCATTTTCATGCTCTCTCCCATAGGCTCAACTTTCCCCAACCCCACCCCTGCTCACTGGCCACTCATAATGAAAAATTCCAAAGCCAAAAGAAGAGAACCTCTTTGGGAGGGGTTGGGGGGGGTTAGCAGTGACTATTCTGAGAACTTCATGGCCCTCAGCTTGTTTTTGCATGCGAAAAGCACAGGGAGAAACTCGATGATGTAATGCACCAGAATAAGGAGCTGGAACAGAGATGGGGTGCAACCCTCAGGGGTGCTTAATGTTTATTAATCAGTGCATGGTCTGGGAAGGTGTTATCTATTCATGCTGCCTTTTCTGTCACGTAGAATCGCTGAGTACTCCTATGGGCATCAAAAGAAATCAAGTAAGAAGAAAAAAATTAGTAAGAATGACATCCGCCTGGTACCTCGGGATGTGGAGGAGACAGACAAGATGAATGTTGTCAGTTGCTCCTCCCTTACTTCATCCCTCAACTATTTCGACTACCACCAGCAGACGCTGCCCCTGGGTTGCCGCCGCTCTGAGAGCACTTTCCTGAATGTGGAGAACCAGAATACCCGAAATACCAGTGCCAACCACATCTACCATCACTCTTTCAACAGCCAGGGCCCACAGCAGCCAGATCTGATAATCAATGGTGTACCCCTGCCTGAGGTGAGTGCAGCTAATTGGTCCTATGAGTTCTTCCCAGATCTTCTGGAGCTGCTTGCCATACCATGGGCCACTCCAAAATGACACATCCCTTGATTCTATCTAAGCCAGTTTCCATACTCAGTGTTTACTACTAGGGCTTCTTGGGGCAAGTAGTAATCCAACATACAGGCCTTTGTGTAAGATGGGTGTTGGGAAATCCAGGGATCTGAGCCTTGACATCCCTGATTAATTTACCAACACAGTAAAAGGTGCACCACCTGTTGCTAGCCAGTGGTACCAGTATGGAAGCTGAAGTTTAGAGTCACCATGTAGTGTTTAAAATGAGCAAAGCCCTGTAATGCTTGGACAACAATTTCCTCCCCTGAGAGTGGTTCAAAGTGCTAAAGCCACACACCCCCCTTTTTTGCTTCTTTCTTTTCAAACTACTGTTCCCTAGCATCTTGCTGAGACTATGGTTGGGCTGGTTCACAGGAGACAAGCAAGAAAATAAAAGGCCACTTTACTAATTCTTAGCAGTTCTGGTAATAACATTTGACAGTTGAAACTGTCACTAATATGAATATTGTAGGAATTAGCTATGCATTTCAATGAATTGTTTCTCTTTATTTTGAGTGTTTTCAAGTGGAAGCATTTTTAAAAACACAATGTGGTCAGATATTTGCTGGTTATTGAAGCATTTTGGGTTTGTAGGATGATAATGCCAGTGATGGTGACTGGGTGGCTAGGTAGAAGGCGATAAATAAGTCTTTTAAGTTCATTTAATTTTCTATTAATTGCCTAAGTACTCTTTGGTTGGAAATTTGATGCACTAGAAGACATACGTGTTCTTCCTGGTCACTATGAAAGGTATATTATAGATTTCAAGAGCACGTCACTGTTTTTCAAAATGTACCTCACAAGCATTGTCTTATTGGAAACTCACAGATTTAATATGATGAAAAAGCAGTATTTTTAATGAGAAACTGATGATATTCTGCTGTCAACAAAAACACCAACATTTTCAATCCACAACTCTATAGATTTATTGGAAGACTAGTACTGTATCACATCAGCTATAACTATTAATGACTCTTAATAGTGGTGGCCCTCAACCATAGACTACTTGGAGAACTCTTTGTGGATCACCAGAAGTTTAGCTGTAAAGATGGAGAGGTAGGCATTTGTAGTGGAATCAAATAGACTATGATTTCAAATTCAGGAGTCACTTTTTACTAAGGAAACTCTTTGAATCTCTTTTTATTTTCATCTAAAAAATGGCAACATCTACTATGCAAAATACTCCAAGAAAAAAAAACTATCAATTTGAAAGAGTGTGATTCATAGGTGTCCCTGAAAAGGTCTATCTTTTATGAGAAACTGGAGCCATCACCATTGGCAATAACCTATTCATTTGAGTATGTCTCCCCAGGCTCTAATAACCTAAGAGGAATTTAGGCTGGTTCTGTGTAGATAAGACCCACAAAATGGTGTGACTGGATTTATTCTTACTGATCACTGAACAAAGGAGGTGAAAGATGCTAATGTTGTGGATTCATTTCCTGATACTGTCGTTGCATGGAGAGATGGGCAAAAGTATTAAATCTTGAAGATTTGGTGGTGATTTTACAATCAGTAAAGCATAGTTTTGACTATTTCAAAGCGCTAAAGTCTCAGTTCGATGCTGTCTCTGACACTCAAAGCCAGATACTCTCTTTGTCTAACAAAATCACACAGATGGAGTGTATAGGGCTAGGCAGGTCCAAGATGGCTCGAACTAGATACTGTGAGGTGAGGTTACATTTGTATTTTCAGTATGTATGTAGTGTTGGAGAGTTCATGGCTGAGCATTGATCATGCTATTTAATCTGTATATCTGTCACAAAGTTCTGCCTATGGAAAATGACACCCCTTTTCTTCCATTCAAGAAGCTCCTGAACATGGACTGGCTAGAATGCTTAGGTCCAGTGTAACCTATGGAACAAGCAGGAAATTTGATGCATTCATTCGATTGATACTTGTTGAATGTCTGTTCCTTGTAAGAGAACTGCTCAAGGGTCTGTAGTTCCAGAGATGAAAAAGACAATGAATGTCCATTTTAATGAGGGGATCAGTGTGCAACTAGGTAGTTTACAATGTGAAATGTTAAATGCTACTCTAGGTGAAGTGAAATTCCTAGAATAATGGTATTCTGATATATTTCCTACCTTTGCATTTTCCTCATCAATAAACGAATCCATCTAGGAAACAAAACACTTATGATACAAATAAAGCACTGAATAAGTTGTGATGAGTATGTGATTCTATGGAAATTTTTCTTAAATCATATTATTACATTAATGTTGTCCTTTATTTCATTAATTCATTCTTTCATTTGTTCATTAGTTCAGTCCACTAGAATTTATTGCATGGTTTGCCATCAGAGAGTTGTTCATAGACTAATTGAGGAATCAAGACAAAATTTCACTGGCAGACAATAGAATGTGCCAGGTACTGTACTTACAGTTTGTTAGGGATACAAAATAAAACATTTGATCTTTGATCTCAGGGAGCTTAAGAGAAGCAGATAAGTAATGGGCAATTTCAAATCAGGATGACATCCCTTTTTTGAGCACATGTTACAGTCTCACTCTTCAATTGGGACCAAAGGTCACTACATATTAGCTTCCTCTGCTGGTTTCCTTTTGTGACAAACACACTCCCTCCATACAGGGCTAGGGCTTACTCGAAATAGTAGTTAGACAAGTAGACACAGAACTACTGTGCTTGCTGTGGGCTGCTTCTGCCCCATGCACTTTGACATTTGTCAGTGTTGCAGTAAATCAAATCAGTAAGCATTTTTAGAATGTTCAGTGTGCTCGGCTGTGTAGCAGGTAGCCTAGAGATTCCAGATAAGTAAATGAGGAAAATTTTGCCCTCAGAGAGTTCACAGTCTGGTTGAGGAATCAAGCTCACTCACAAGATTTCAGTGGCAGACACCAGAAAGATAGGTTCTAATTCCCCCTTATGTTGTAGGCTTCTTAGTACTTCCATCTCCTTGCAAGACAACCCTGCTATCATTTTTGTGTAAATGTGCTTCTGAGCTTTGTGGCTTAGTGTTGAACTGAGAGTGACTTTTGTTTTGCTTTTTTGTTGGTGGGGATCAAACCCAGAGCTCTGTGCATGCTAGAAAAGTGCTCTACTGCAAACTACATCCCTAGTCCTGAGGGTGATTTGTTCATCAGTGTATGAACTTGGACACATTTGAAAATATTGTCAGGTCTAAGAAACTAAAGAGAACATGATTTTAGATGTGGTGAGGCAGGTTTGGAAAAAGGAGTGGAGCACTAGTCTAGAACATTGGAATTTAGCTTCTTGCAGTGAGAAGACAGCGAGCTAGTTGTGTACAGAGTTGTGCATGATTATTTGCTTGCCCTAGGCTGTTGATTGGGATGTCAGCTATGTCAGTTTTGTGCTTTTGTACACAAATTTGAGGAGGCAAAGTAGAGGATGTCTTTGTTGTTTACAGAAGACTTTTGTAGAATTAGTGATCATGTATCTTTTAAATATTTTAACTTGGAAGGTGAGATTTGCATTCCTTGGCATCCTGGTTTATTTAGTTTATAGACTTTGTGTGTGTGTGTGTGTGTGTGTGTGTGTGTGTGAGAGAGAGAGAGAGAGAGAGAGAGAGAGAGAGAGAGAGAGAGAGAGAGGGAAAGCGAAGAGAAGAGAGCGAAGAAAGGAGATTGAAAAAGGAAGCGAAGTTATTAGGCTTGTAGTTTGATGAAATTTGTCTCAAAGTATTTCAGTTTGTTTTGAGAGCCCCTTAATGTGACATTTTTTCCTTCTTCTGATCTTATGGGAATGGGTGCCTGTAGATGCTTAAAATTTTATTATTTTGTGCTTTAGTGTTCTTATATTGTCCTTTGATCAGTGGCCCTGGTCACTGTTAAAGGAAGAAAATGGAGCTCCTTTTTTCCTACTGGGAATGGAGACTTGGTCAGAATCTCTCTTTTTTTTGCCTTCAAGAAAGGTGAAGTGGTTCAAATACACTCAATCTTTTGTCAGACATTTTTTCACATTTTTAGTTTTTGATGCTAAATAATTTGGAGCTGACAATTCTGAGTGAGTGATAATAGGCAGGAACTTCCAGAACTTGAAGCCTAGATGCACAGCATTTCCACTTTCGCTTAACCTCAATCTCGAGTTTTCTCTGTTTTGTATCATTTGCTGCCAAACTGTAGTGTCTTTGATAAGAAACATCCTAACCTGTGTGTGTGTGTGTGTGTGTGTATGTGTGTATGTGTGGGTGTGTATGTGTCTGTGTTGCTGTGGTCATTCCACTGCTTTTTGAATAGTGAAGTGGGGGGTGAATTTGCAGAACAAGGATATATGTGGCAGGCCTAATTGAATGCTTCCAATTATCCTACAAAATGTCTGAATGCATGGCCATCTTACAGCAAATAATGAAAGTAAAACATCAGTTTGGCCTTGAAAAATAAAAGGGCGAGAAATAGCTCAACATGCTTTGGTCCTTAAAGCAAAGAAGTTAGGGATTTACAATGATCTGAGTAAAATTCTGGACTATGGACAGCTGTCTATCAGACAACAGATCCAGAAAGCACTAGACAGTAGTGTGATGAGGCTGGTTTGGACAGTATAGAAACCAGTGTCATTTCCAGTGAAAACCAACCAACCAACTTTTCCTTAAGTGAACTTTTTTTTTTTAACATTTCCTCATTATGATGAGGTCTTGGAATCATTACAGTCTTGTGTCTAAGGGTCAAAAGGAATCCTGTGGCTGCAGGATGAAGCAATGGAAAGCAATGCATCCACACGTACTCCCTTTGGTTTTCTTTGAACATCTCGGGCTCCACTTGTATCAGTAGATATTCTTGGGCCACCCATTGCCTGCAATGTATGTTTACTGGCCCGTTTCACATCTAGCTGAGACAGTGTGTTTCCCAGCGGGCATCAGCTAGCAAGATGTGTTCCAGAATAAACTGTTCCTCTGTCGTCTCCATGCAACTGCTGCAGAACTGAGT